ATGGGGATGGGGGATGGGGGAATCCGGCCTTCGCGGAGTGGGAATCGGGGCCTCTGCGGACTGGGAGGGGCCTTGACGGGGCGGGCGGGGGATGGGGGATCCGGTTTTTGGCGGTCGGGCCCACCTTCCCTCCCGGGCCCTTCGGGGGAAGGTGACCTTGCCTCTGCCGGGTCCGGCGTCCTCCAGGTCAGGCCGGTGCTGCGCGTGCGTCTCGGAGCTTCGTGGCTGCTCTGAGCAGGCAGGCCTGAGGCTGCTGCTTGGTTACATTTCCTACCTACTGTTTGGCGAGCGTTTGTGTGCTGAATCTCCTTGACTAGAACCGGTCGTAATTCATCTCTTGTCTAGGTCCGGTTCTCTCCCGCACCCTCGAAGATGGGAAGGAGTTACTGAGGGGGTGATTAGGCCTAGAAAGTTCGAGGGGGAAAGTGAGAAAGTGAACGAGCAACGCAGTTGTGGGAGTATGTCATTAACGATGGAATTATTTGCATGGTTAACAGAGATGGCTGAAGTTTCAGGTCTGGGGAGCCACTAAGGAAAATGGGAAAATTGGGAGAGAGGAAAGGATTGAAGGTTATTTTTTATTTAGGGTGTATTGAATTGAGGGGAATGGCTGACAGTCGCTTGGTTAAGAGTCAATGGGTTAAAAGCAGGAGAGGTGGGTACTGGACTCCAGAGAAAACTGCAGGAAAGTAGAGCAATCACAGTTGCAGAGATGCTAATATTGTTGAAATAAATGTAGTGCTAGAGGAAAAATAAAAGTTCTAAGACATACCCTCCCCCTTGTTATGTACAGAATCAAAAAAGGAATTTCTGTATGTGAGCAAAAGGAGCCACTGGTAGCCTTGCAGGAGGGCTTCCTACAAACGGACTTTGTGGCCTCAGGCATCCCAAAGAGCTCTTGCTTTATGTTTTGTTGTATTTAGTAGTGTTTATTATCAGAAACAGCTTAGAAGTCTTTTTATTTTTTTCTTTTTCTGTTTTTGTTGTTGTTTTTTGAGACATGGTCTCATGTAGTCCAGGCTGGCCTCCTAGTGGAGGAAGACCATGAACTCTTATTTCACTTGTCTCTCTGCCTCCCAAGTGCTGGGGAGTACAGCCTTGTTTTTTTTTTTTTTTTTTTTTTTTTTTTTTTTTTTGTTCTGTTTTTTGAGACAGGGTCTCCCTGTAGTCCCTGCTGGCCTGGAACTTACCATGTAAATCTCGTATAGGTTGCCTGCCTCTGCCTTCTGAGTGCTGGGATAAAAGGTGGCTTTGTATATTTTTATTATTTTTTAATTTACGTGTATGAGTGCATGTATGTAAGAGTACTTGTGTCTTGCATTGCTCACAGAGGTCAGAAGAGGGTATTAGATACCTTGGAACTGGAGTTACAGCTGATTGTCAGCGGACATGTGGGTGCTAGGAACCAAACCTGGGTCCTCTGTAAGAGCAGCCAGTGGTCTTAATCGCTGAGCCATCTCCCTAACCCAGTGACTAAGAAGTCTTTACAACACAAAGAACACACAAGTTCATATTGGGGGGGGGTTGCAAATGGGAAGTGACGTCAGCTCATCTTGGAACATCTGGGAAAGCCCTCTGTACTCCTGTTTTTGTTTGAGAAGATGGCAAATGATACCTTGGAATTCTGAAAATAACGTCAGCCTCACAGGCCCCTTCCCAGCCCTCTTAGATCATGCTTTACAACTGGCTGAGGTTTTTGTTTTTATAAGACCTTAAATGTTTATTAAACAGGTTGAGTATCTGTTTTCATACATGTTTAGGACCAGAAATGATTTGAATTTCATATTTTGGGGCATTTTGGAATCCTTGCATATGTATAATGAGATACTGAAGAGAGGACCCAAGTCTAAACATAAAATTCAGTTGTTTCTTCTATATATAGCCTGAAGGTAATTTTATACTGCTCTCTTTGTGGCCTGAGTTTTGGCTGCAGCTCAGCATGTGGTCAGGTGTGAAATTTTCCATGGTGGAGTCAATGTCAGGACTTATTTTAAAAGCTACAGATTTTGGAGGGCTTGGGATTTTCACATGAGAAGATTCCAGTTGTTCCTGAAATTCTAATTAGGTAGATGAGATACATCATATTGTCCCTATTACTGTGTCCTGCTTTGGGAGTGTAAGGATAATTCTGTTTGGTCTTGTCTTGGGCCAATTAAAAATCAGATTTTTAAACCTAAAAGTCAGCTTTTCTTTATTTAAGGGTAATAATTCATCTTTCACAGGTTATGTTGTTCAGGTTAAAAACATCATGGTTCTAATGTGTATGTGTTTTTTTCTCTTTGACAGAAAATTCATTTGCAAATTGCCCGACAAAGGTAAAAAGATCTCCGATACTGTTGCCAAACTGCAAGCTGCCATTGCAGAACGTGAAGAGGTCAGCGGACAATGTGAACTGTTTCATCCTGTTAGTGTAGACTGTAAGCCAAGGCAAAGAGCAATCACAAGAATCGATGTGGACTTAGATGAGGCCCAGAATTCTGACCTGATACTTGATACTCCATCACTAGTTCCTGACTATTCCTCTGTAGGCATCAAATCATCCAAAATAACCTTAGAAACAGAGGGATGCATACATCCCATTCACACAGGCAGTGAAGAGACTTCGGAGGCTGACCACACAGTGAACACAAGCCCAGCTCCCACCATGATACCCTCCTCGTCTGAAGTGAATGAACATCTTCCCCAACGTTGGGTTTCAAGTGAAGTAGGAAATATTTCCAGCAGCATTGACAGCGCCTTTATTGATCAGTTACAGAAGATCTCAATTACAGAGCACAGTGAACACTCAGAGGGAAATACAAGTGCAGAGACCCCAACAGGCCTCCGTAGTGAGACCCTTAGGAAACCTCATTACTTAGAAGTGCTTGAAATGCGAGCCAAAAACCCAGTGCCCCCTCTTCACAAGTTCAAGACAAATGTGTAAGTGTCACTAGAAGCAGGTGTGTCTCAGGACATGATGTGTGCAGAACTCAAAACCTTGGAGTGCAGTAGGCTTAGTGAGCAGTGCTGGGAAGTAGGAATGAACATGTGGAATAGGCCAGTGTTGCTGGAATGGAGAGCTGCTTTTGAATAATGTTAGTTCTGAAGTAAAAGAGTTTCAAGTAACAGATGGGGAGTATTCTGTTTTGGGGTGCTTGGCCAATTTTCATGATAAACAGAGTTGGGAAAGAGAATGTTATTGGTGACTTTTTTTCAGTACCATTCTCTAGTTATTGTGCAACTGCCCCCTTGATTGCTGTGTAAACTAAGAAATGAGAGGGAGGTGAAGGACAGGAAAGGCTGAGTCTGGCCACGGACAAATGGCATTGGGTTTACATGGGAGCAGAGCTTGTAGGGTGGTCAGTGGGCTAAGGCTGTGCTGTTAGCTTTTCTGGTCTTGGTTTGTCCTGTGTGCTTTTCTGCTTAGTATGCTTGCTGGATACTGGCTACTTGTCATCTACTTACTGCGGTCTTTGAAGAACTTGAGATTTGCATAGGCAGGTCCTGTGACACATGACCACTTAGGTGTCATGTGACATCTCAGGTTACCATGCTCAATGTGAAGCTCCCATTTCTCCCCAAACTTAACTTTCCTCCACACACCTGAAGTTAACTAGTCACTGCTGCCCTTCCCTTCCTCCAATGTCATCCTGGTCTTCATATCTCCTGTCCCTGAGGACCTATGTAACAAGTTTGCTTGAGCTCCATTTCTGTGATCATCATTGCTGTCATCCTGTAAAAGAAGGTTCTCATCTCTGGGCGCTATGACTGTGGTCTGTTCCTACCTCTAGCTTCAGCTGCCGACCCTCCCCCTCCACTGCTGCCAGATGAGCTTGGTCACGTACGTGCCTTCTGTCTAGTTGCGTTCTCCACTCATCTGAACTTCCTGGGTTGCAGCCATGTTGGCCCTCACCCATCTTGCTGCGATGCCCTTCTCCCCTCATTATATGAAGAGAGCACTCACTCTCAGATCATTCAGGTTCCACATTGAAGCTTTTCTGACAACTTCCCTTTCCTCCTAGAATTAGTCTGTGTCAGAACCTATCATACCACATTGAAGCTTACAATGTTTATTTCCTATTACTGAGTGAACTTAATGATAAAGTAGTTTCAGTCAAGTATAAAGTGTGAAGAGGAGGGAAAAGGCAAGTTTGTATCTGTATACCTGGTTAGCAGTGAGCAGGAGCTAAATGTTGACTGTGACTTTGTACAAGAATTAAGGGCCAGGGTTAAAGGCCACTTTTGTCCATGTTTGAATCCTTAGGTTACCCACACAACAGAATGACTCACCCCCTCACTGTCAGAAGGGAACATCTCCTGTTTGCTCAGAAGAGCGGCGGCGCAGGGATAAGCAGCATCTAGACGACATCACGGCAGCACGGCTCCTTCCGCTTCACCACCTGCCCGCACAGCTGCTCTCCATAGAGGAGTCACTGGCACTGCAGAAACAGCAGAAGCAGAATTACGAGGTATTTGGAGGCTTGAGTTTTTCTTATCTATGCTGGATGCTGCTTTTGGAAGTCAGAATTTACTTCAGGTAGTTCAAGGAGGAAGGGACTTAATACAAGGGACTAGATTCTTGAGAAGTAGTTGCCCGAGGTCATTAGCTGTCGTAGTCATATGCCACCAGTTTTCAGTCTCAGAGTTGCTAGAGCTGCAGGAAACAGCTGGAGATGGCTATAGTGACGCACCACATCTGCCTGCAGCTGCTGGGATAGCAGATGCCCTTCTCTCCTTCCATGGAGCCCATGTGGCAGCTTTAAGCTTAGTGGTGAGCTCTCATAAGAATCGAATGCAGTTCCCAGTTCTGTCTCCTTCAGTATAGGGACCAGCAGAGAAGGGCAGGAGGTTGAACTGTGTTGCCAGTGGACAGTGTGGCAGTCTTGAGGACAATCTCTGGGCTTTGTGAAGAGAGGCACCTCCTGCTTTGGGGTCTTCACCTGTTGTGTATAGCATTGTCCTATGAGCCATTTGTTTTGCATAGAATTTTTAAAAATGTACATAGGCTGGACATAGTGACACATACCCTTTATTCTAGCCCTTAGGAGGCAGAGGTAGGTGGATTTCTGTGAGTTCAAGGCCAGCCTAGTCTATATTAATGAGACCCTCTTTCAAAATTTAAAGTAAAATAAATAAAATAAAAGTGTAGTATTGGTAATTTGTGTTCAAATTAGCAGGATGAGAGAAAATAAGTGTGGGGACCTTCAGGGAAATAGGAGTAGTGGATATGCTTAGTCATAGGGTAAGTTTTTGTGAAAGCAGTGTCCCGTCTCTCTCCTGAATTGCTTAGCTGGAATTCAGTCAGGTTCTGCGCACCATCTCAAGTCAGACCAGCCTATGAATCAGCCTATCAGCCTTGGCTTTGCATGAAAGCTCCGCAGGCATGGACTGGCATTTTCAAGGCACTTTTTTTTCAAAGCCGTTTTCTTTTTTTCTGTGCATTAAAATACCCTGCTACAACCACAGCGTTGTAGAAGTGCTGTCTCAATTGTCTGGGTTTAAATACCTGTACTGACAAATTTTTACGTTAGACTCTTCTGCTTGAAACTTGTTTTCTTGATAGAATAGTTATAGTAGATAGACCCCAGTTTTTACGTACCTATGATGCTCATAGTATTCATCGGGTGTGGGAAGGATGTGCTGAAGTTCAGGATGTAGGAGAAAAGAGCAGATTAGTGGTACACACTGATACCTGCTAGCATTGGGTGTGATATAAGCCACTGCCAGTCTGAGATCTACTTGGGCTTTTTGAGTTTAATTTCTCCAGAACTTCGCAAAGGGGTGGTCAGTGTGTTAGGGTCAGTGTCTTGGCTCTTTGTGCCATTGAAATGGAACTCACAGACCCCGAAGCCATGATTTAATCTAGAGAAGAAAGTCCTATGGTCAGAAATTGGTGGTTTCTTTTTCCTTTTTCTTTTAAAAAAAAAATATTTTATGTGTATTGAGTGTACTGCCTGCGTGTATATAAGTGTAGCTGTGTCGTGCAATGCCTGTAGAGGTCACAAGAAGGCATTAGATTCTCTGGAACTGGAGTTACAGATGGTTGTTAGCCAACATGTGGGTGCTGGGATTGAACCCAAGCCCTCTGTGTGCAAGAGCAGTCAGTGCTCTTACCACTGAGCCATTTCTCCAGCCCCAGAAATTGGTGATTTCTGTCACAGGTCAGGTGATTCCTTGGGTGTGCATGGTATGTGGTGATTCTTAATGTCTTAATAGCTACTGTAGTGCCAAGCTGATTACTCAGTTTCATATACTGAGGTAAGTTGTTTTCAGTGCAGTGTTGCTTGTTAATGGATGTCAGTAGCAATGCAGCAGGCTGGTAGTCCTCAGAAATTGCCCTGAGTCTGTGGCAGGATACTGAGTGGGATCATGTTCTTTATTCTGAATGACTTACTGTTGAAATATTGTATGGGAAGGATGTGAATGTGTGACTTAGCTTTGTTCTTTGTTTTAAAGGAGATGCAAGCAAAGCTCGCAGCACAGAAACTAGCTGAAAGACTGAATATTAAGATGCAGAGCTATAATCCAGAAGGGGAGTCTTCAGGGCAGTACCGAGAGGTGAGGGACGAAGATGATGACCAGTCCTCTGAGGAGTTCTGAAGATGGCACGGGAGGTCGTGAAGATGTCATTATCTCATATCAAACTTTCCTACAAGTATCACAATCAGGGTCAGACCTTGACGATGGAAAAAAGTGTATGTTATACAAAGGTAGCTACAAAACAAAAACAAAACAAGCCCAGTTGGTCTTTCAGGTGATTTTTATGTGCTTGGAAAATTCAATATTTGAACATTGCGTATGTTGTATTAAAGTTTTCCAGTATGTTGTGTGTTGGTCTGATATTTTAGTGTGGAGCAGAGCCCAGTTTGCTTTTCTTTAAGGTAACTTGGCTCTTTTCCTTATTCTAACCTCTCTCAAAGAGCATTGATTGCGTACCTCTTGGTGTAACACTTAGTTGTCCCAGGTACAAAAAGTGACTTAGGAAGACTCGGTTCCCCTTTCGAGCAGTGAAGAGAGTAGTACCCCAGAGAATGGCACACCTGTTTGCGTGGTGTTGCTGAGGCGGACGGTACCTGGGGGGACACTCGTAGAACGTCGTCAACAAATGTTTGTTGCTGCTCCTGTCTTCTCTTGGGAAGACTGCTGTCTTTCTCTGACTAGGAATATGGAGCACTTGGGAAGGTAGGTGCTGGGTGTGGAGGGCTTCTGGGAGCAACATCTGGGCTGGCTGAACAGGGCGAAGAGGCCCTGCTCCTGGCTTTAACTGACTTGAGGTCACTGCTGTCTTCAATGATAGGTCCATGTACAGGGCGCTTCGTTTGGTAAAGAAACCAGTGTTTTTCTAAGAGTTACAGCTGAATTGTTAGTACATTGCTTTTTTCTTTTTTAAACCTAAAGGGGTGTTTATAGACTGCAAAAACCTCAGTCTCATGTGTACACATTTGTGTCATTTTAAACGATCATATGGTTGTCTTCAGAGAAGTTAACACTTATGTTATCGGAAACTCTTTGTCTACTATGTGGAAACTTAAGTATTAAAAGGAGAAATAAAATATCAATTAGAACAACTTCAAATGCCAGTGGTGATACTTTACTGATACTTGGTTGACCTTAACTTCTTTAAAAGCAGTGTCCATACATGAAATTTGACTGAAAACACATCTAGGTCAGATGTACATGTACTTGGAAGGGCTTGGTGCTATATCGTGTGCTGTAGGTTTAATAAATACTTTCCACATTCCCTCTCCCCTAAGAAAGGGCAGATGTAAGAAATATACTGAAATAATAGTTTCAGTCTTTTTTTAAACTAGTAGCAGATGATTTCAAAACATATTATTTGGTGGTTATTCTCTGTGGAATGAAGTAGCATTTCTGAAAGACTGGAAATACAGGAGGGGGTCATGCACAGATGAACACAGTCTCCAGTAAGCTTACCATTCAGTCTGAAACGTTTGAATGTTCACGCTTTGGCTTATTTTTTTATGCAATCATTTATATATCATTTCAGTGTGATTATATTTTAAACATTTTCCCATGTTAAATAACCACAAAATATTTTTCATAAAAAGCTTTTTAAACAATTTCATATGTTTTTATTTTTGTGTGTATGTGCCTGTGGGAGTTTTTGTGCACCATGATGTGCATGTGTGCAGGTGCCTGCAGAGGCCAGAAGGCTATAGGAGCCCCTGAAACTAGAGTTACAGGCAGTTATGAGATCCTTCATATGGATGCTAAACTGAACCTAGGCCCTTTGCAACAGTAGTACATGCTCTTAACCACTGAGTCCTCTCTCCAGCCCCACAATTTCATATTTTAATGATTGATTATAGTATGGTAAATAGTGGTGTGATCAGTATCCTAAAAGGTCAGCACATCTGTGCACATTACTTATTTCTAGATCTTTCCTAGATTGAATTTTCTTAAAGAATTTTGACATAATCACTTGATGCAGAAATTGTATCTGTTTACAGTCCCAGTAAAAATACATCACTCATTTTAAAATGACTGCAGTTCTGGGGCTTGAGAGATGACTCTGGTTAAGAGGATATACTTTAACAGATGGACTAGAACTTGGTTCCCTACATCCACATTGAGCAGCTGCCTATCTATAACTCCAATTCCAGGGGATCCAATGCCCTCTTCTGGCCTCTGGGTACCTGCACTTACATGCACATGCCTACATGCAGGTGCATAGAGACAAAAAAAAAAAAAAAAAAAATGGAGTGATGGCTCAGTGATTAAGAGCACTGGCTGCTCTTGCAGGGGACTCGGGTTCAGTTCCTAGCACCCACATGGCAGTTAACAACTATCTGTAACTCCAGTTCCAGGGGATCTGATGCCCTCTTCTGGCCTCCGTGGGCACAGCATGTACACAGTGCACTTAGATACATGCAGGCAAAACACTCATACACATAAAAGAACAAAAAACAAAACCATTCAAAAACTTACAAGTTTAATAGTTATAGGGAGAAAAGCTACATTTAAAATAAGCATTTCTGGAGCTGGAGAGATGACTCAGCAGTTAAGAGCTCTTGCCAGAGGACTGAGTTTGATTCACAGCATCCACATAGGGTGGCTTAACAACCACTTGTAACTGCAGCTCTAGGGGGATCCGATGCCTTTGGCCCCTCATGGCACCTGTGCTTGTGAACTTACCCACGCCAAGGGACACACACACAAGTTTTTAAAAATATATGTATTCCTCACTGAAGGGTGAGTTCTTTTTCCTGTTCATTGATTGGGACAACTTTTTATTAGCAGTGATTTTTTTCTATTTTATTATTTTAAAAAAAGTTCTAATGTATATGAGTGTACTGCCTGTGTGTATGTAAGTGCACACGTGTCATGTGATGCCCACGGAGGCCAGAGGAGGGCATCAGATCCCCTGGAACTGGAATTACAGACAGTTGTTAGCTACCATGTGGGTGCTGGGAACTGAACCAGGGTTTCCTTGCAAGAGCAACCAGTGCTCTTAACTGCTGAGCCATCTCTCCAGCCCCAACTTTTCTATTGTTTGTAGAGGATTGCTTGTTCATAATTTTCCATTATTCTGGAAAATTTGTCATTTTTTTCTTGGCTTGTCCATCGTAAGCTGGGAGTGGTGGTGTACATCTTTAATCCCAGCACTTGGGAGGCAGAGGCAGGCAGATCTCTGAGATCAAGGCCAACTTGGTCTATATAGTGAGTTGCAGGCCATCTGGGGCTATAGGGCAACCCTGTTCCTGCCCATCCTTTGTCATGTCATTGTGCTTTTGTGTGTCATTTGCCTTTTAATATAGTGTATGGTGAATGAGTTGCTTTCTCTAGGAGACTGCTTTTGCATGTGTGCTTGAACAGACTTCTTAACACAACAATGGGTGTTTGCCCTTGTTTGCTTCTAGCATCTTTAAATTTCTTTCTCAAAGCCTTAACATTGAAAAAGAAATCCTGTGTGTATGTGTCTTGAGAGGAGTGGTGTGCATGTGACTGCAGGTGCTTGAGAAAGCCAGAAGAGGGTGTTGGTTCCTCAAGCCAGAGTTCCAGGCAGTTACGAGCCACCCGACAAGGATGCCCACATGCAGGAATTCAGGTCCTCGGCAAGAGCAGAGCACACTTACCTGCTGAGCTCTTTTCTCCAGCCTCTTTGTTTCATTTTTTATAGTTAATCTTTTACTTGTGTTTACATACATCAACTCAGTCTATACAACTTTGGGATGAAAGGGAGGTGTTTGCTTCATCTTAAATTTATCTGTGGACTCATCTTGGATGAGTTAGGCATCTCATCTTACTTCCTGAAAAATGCTTAACAATTAGCTCAGAATCAGAGGCCACCATGTTTTTGGCTTTGTAATGCTATCCTAATAGAATTACATTCCTATGTGCCTTTTATAGGTAGGGCCTATTTGTCAATCATGATGGCTTTAATTAATGTTAATATTCAGTAGAACAAGTCCCTCTCGTAAGTTTTGTGAAATATAACAGAAAAGTATACAAAGTATGTCCAGTTTAATGGCTAAAACAAGAGTTGTGAAATCAAAGCAGATGAAAAGAAGCTGCCACCAGCCCTCCATACTCGCCTGTATCTCCTCATGGCACACCCTCCTTACCCCAACGATCACTGCTGTCCTTACTTTGTGGCAATTTCTTCTGAATCCTTTTCCCAAAATTAGTTTTCCATTTGTGCGTACCCACTGCAGACTTCTATAAAGACCCAGTCATACTGTATGTTATGCCTAATCCCTTTCATTCTAAATTCATGTCATCTGGTGGGTATGGGTAATTCATTTTCATTGCGATTAACATGTAGTGTGCTGTTTCATTAGTATCATGGTTTCTTTATTCTGCTGTGATCATTTTAGTTTGGAGGTATGAAGCAGAACTGCAGTGAGCGTCTGCACATCTGAACACCTTTTTTTTTTGTCTTTCTGAGACAAGGTCTTCCTGTAGCTGCAGCTGGCCTGGATTCGCGAATGGAGATCAAGCTGGCCTTGAACTCACAGAGATCCACCTGCCTCTGCCTCCCGAGTGCTGGGATTAAAGGTGTGTCCCACCACATCCGGCTCTGAACACATTTTTATAGGATGTATATCTAGAAGTAGAATTTTTGGGTTATGATGTATATGTATATCTTTAACATTTTATATTCCCACCACCCCTTCCACAGTGTATGAGAGTTCCAGTTCACCAACATTTGGCATTGCCAGATTTTAATTTATTTAATGTGATGTTGACATAGTAAACAGTCATTGTGGTTGTATTAGTACTTTTCTGTTGCCGTGATAGAATACCCAGACAAAAAACCAACTTTGGGGAGAAAGGGTTTCCTTTGGCTTACAGTTCCAGAGGAGACAGTCCATTGTGGTAGGGAAGAAGACACATCAGCCAGAGTATAAGGCCAGCGGATCACATTTCAACAACACACCAGCAGCAGAAAGAACAGGAAGTGAGGCTAGCTGCAAAACCTCAAAGCCCACCCCCAATGATAACTTCGTCCAACAAGAATCCGCCTCCTAAAGGTTCCATAACCTTCCCAAACAGCACCACAAGCTAGGGACCATGTGGTCAAACAGGCAGCAGAGTATGGAGGTGCACACCTTTAATTTCACCACTTGGGAGGCAGGTGGAACTCTGAGATCAAAGCCAGCCTGGTCTATATTGTGAATCTCAGGCTAGCTGTGGCTACAGGGAGACCCTGTCTCAAACAAACAAAAACAAAAATCCAAAACAAAAAAATCAAATGCATGAGGCTATGGGAGGCATCCAATATTCAGATCACAACAGTGACTCTGTTTTGCATCTACCTAATAATGAATGGCATTGAATCATCACCATTCACTTAGTTCTTTTCAGAAGTGTCCAGTTGAATATTGTCCATTTTCTATTGTGTTTTACCAACTGTCTTTTCTTTCCTACTGGTACATAAGCACTTGTGTGTGCACGTGCACACATACACACAATTTTTGGTATCTAATCAAGAAATTAACATTTATTTAGTTATATTTGTTTGTTATAACTATCCTTTTCACTTTTGAGTATTTTATCCTCTTTATGGTATATTGCTAAAAAAAATTTTAGGGCAAATGTATCAAAATTTTGTATTTAGTTTTTTTTTGTTTTGTTTTGTTTTTGTTTTTTGAGCTTGTGTGTTTTGTCCAAAGGAATTGTTCTATCCTGAAGTTATGGAGAAATATTCGTTTTAAAAATATTTTATTTATTTCTATTTTACGTGTATGAGTGTATTACCTGCATTTGTGTAAGTGCACCTGTGTTGTGCAATGCTTACAGAGGTCAGAAGGGAGCATCAGATCCCCTGGAACTAGAATTACAGACGGTTGTTAGCCATCATGTGGGTCCTGGAAATGGAACCCAGGTCCTCTGCAAGAGTAGCCAGTGCTCTTTACCACTGAGCCATCTCTTCAGCCCCAGGAGATGCATTCTTATTTTAAAATCTTGGGGCTGCAGAGATGGCTCAGTGGTTAAGAGCATTGGCTGCTCTTGCAGAGGAACTGGGTTTTGTTCCCAGCACTCAGATGGTGCTGACACCTATCCTTAACGCCAGTTCCAGGGGATGTGACACCCTCTTCTGGCCTCCATGG